TCCCTACACACTGATTTCAGTGCCCCAGCCCTATAGAGGCTCCTAATGTTCTTTAATTATATAATTTTTTAAAATGTCTCTTGTATAAAAATTCTGTATTTTGCTGTCTTGTAAGTCCATAATTTAGATATCACTTTGTTACAAGAATTAAAAATCTCTTGAAGATTTCTGTCTTCTGGGTTGTTGCCCTGATGACGGAGGCAGTATGACCTCTGAAACGTTGGTTAACATCGACCAGACTACACAGCGCAACAACCCAGAAGACAGAATTCTTTATACTCACCGATGTGAAAACCTCAAATCTTACATAAAAATCTCTTCTTTATTTCTAGTGTTTCTGAAGGAAGAATGCTAACGAGCAGAGAACTTCTGTCAGGTGCCGCGTCCAAGAAGAATTGTGTGAATTTAATTCGAGCCAGTGTATCCCACATTGTAAGCTTTTGTCATAGCTTTGTTAGTGCCACTACTTTAGAAATACTAGCTTTAACATTGGTGGCGGGGAGGCCAAGGCCCCACGAAAGGGCTGTAGTGCCACCAAGTAGTAGTAATATTGGCAGACATGCAGAAGAGACATGGGGTCTAATGCTGGAAAGAAGCTTATTTTATCATTATTTCAGTTCATATGTCTACTCTTCCATTGTCTTTTACACTAATTAACTAAATTTAATATAGCTTGATGAGAACGTCATGCCACAGGAGGTCATCTTGCTTTTATAATTTTTAATTTTGTTCTGTTGCCAGTATGGCAGCTGTAGGGTCATTTGATATTGGCACTTAACGTAAGATCTTGAATTGTTGTCTGGGTATTAAAGCTTGGAATAATACAAAGCTGTTTTCAATATAATTGGTAATTCTTGTGAAATGTAAAACAGCTGATTGAAATCTATATTCAACTTTCACTGCAGTGGCAGTAACTAGTCTAGACACGTGAACTTTCGATGGTGACGTAAACATATCTGCGAATTTTGTACTGATCATTTTTGTATGTTAAAGTTACATAATCGTGACTGTTGTATAAAATGTGTGAGGTTATGTATGACAGATTTAATGTTCTCGGAATCTGTTGCTTCTGGAAATATGCACAGGAAAGGATCACTGAATTGTGTAGTTATTAATTAAGCTCTTTCGTATTTCTTCATCCATTTCGGCCTGCGTCCTATGCGGAAGTTAATCGATATATTTATCATTTTTCAGTGCTTGGACGGTCCTGATCCTGCATCCGAGAAGCCACAATGGATTCATGTTCAGACAAAGACTTTCCAAGCCATTGACATCTCAAAGGTAAATGTTTCAATTGAGAATTTAATTCGTTTAATCGTCGTGTACCATATTCACGTGCTTCTTATCTTTCTATGATGATTTTGAACGGTGAATGGGGTTGGATATGGAAGTGACTGTGGACCATTTCATTAAAAAATAAAGCTGTCCCGCTACGTGCCGTAATGGTTCGTGGCGGGAAGAGGACCACTATATATATAATGTTACGTGTTACAAAGAACAGCGTCTCTTATATTTTTAGTGGCATATCTGCATTTCTTTCAGGTAGCTGAACTATTTGCTAGATTTGGCGCAGTGGACGTGAAGCCATTTACCAGATTCAGGGCACTAGTAGCCGTGGGGAACTGCAGAAGGTACGCGAAGACTACATTTTTTATGATTAATCTGGTGTGATATATAGCAGATGCAAACTGAGTTCATTTTGGGATAAGAATGGACGAGATTAAAACATTGCCTTCATGTCACAATCACCAGGTATAAAATGCCTCCTATATTTGAGATGTAAGTGTACTTTTTAATTTTCAGTGCCAGTGACATCGTGACACAATTTCAGAAGCACAGAGACTTTAACGTGAGCTATTATCACCCCATTCGTCATTCGCCTGTTTTACGGGGATTTCTGTGGTAAGTATTCTGTGCTGACAGCTTTGAATTTTATCTAATTTTAACCAAATAGTGTACTAAGTGTAAAGAGTGTCTCATCTTTTTATCCAGTTCAGATCCTTGTGCCGGACTGTAGCCGTTGCTATTAGCGGTGTTGGATCTTTGGTTTTACCAGCAAACATTTACATATAAATCAAATGGAATTGTACATGTAAGATTTGAGGTTTTCACAGCGGTGAGTATGAAGATTTCTGTCTTCTGGGTTGTTGTGCTGTGTAGTCTGGTCGATGTTCCAACGCTTCGGAGGTCATACTGCCTCCGTCATCAGGGTGATGAATATTTGGTTAACATCAACTACACAGCGCGACAACCCAGAAGACAGAAATCTTCATTTGGTACTGTGTTTGCACATTGTTCTAAGAACTAATTTTTTATATTTATTTAATTCTGTTCATTGCCAGTTCAACCCCTGGGATAGAAATACTTCTTTATTGTCAGAAATACTGAACATCGTAGTAAAGTGAATTGAATTCCCATTTCATATTTGGGAAGTTTCAGTTTTGATACTGGACCCTGAGGGTTTCTGTTTTGACTTAGATGTATTGTAGTTTTTTTCAACCTCTCTAGACACACTCTTGGAACGTACTTTAAAGTAGGCCATGGTTTATTCTTTCCACATCCCTTCTAATGATCATTTACATTTGTCTTCCCATTTGATGCTGCTTCTTTCCACATCCCTCCTAATGATCGTTTACATTTGTCTTCCCATTTGATGCTGTGTAACTTTCCCGTTGAGAAAAGTAGGCAGAAGAGCGAGTTAGGTAAGTGTCTTGGATGTAGGCAGTACAGAAATTCTTTATGCATATTTCCAGGACTGGATTAGTTGTATCAGGTGGGATTTTTGCCTGCCTTCTGTTTAAAGAATTCGACAGAATCACAAAGTCCTAGTGCTGCTTAGCAACCACAAGCAGCATGACGCCATGAATCCTGCAGCAGAAGCAACAGAATGTTTAAAACGACAAGAAAAATGTTACCTGCGTCAGCATCAAAGGTAGGAAAACGTAACAGTGCGAGTAATATTTAAGTTTAGTGCCGCATGCCATTCGTGTTGTAACGTAGTGTCGTTTCGTAGTCTGTTTAATGTTGAAATATTTTATATCTGGCATAAAATCGTAACTCGTATGTGTAAGAAGATCGTATCCATAAACTTGAGAATTTGTTTGTAGCGGCGGATGTGTGTGTTAAGGAATTTTGGCATGAAACGTAACAGATATATGTGCGTTTCAATAGTCTCGTCTTAATGGAATCTTCATAATGTACTTCTGTTCTGTACGTTCGATCATCGCCATGAGAACTTCGCATCTCACCTTTTTATTTTGTTCGTAACTAGTTCCGCACTTTTCTGTTTTCAGTTGGAGAAGGGACTTGTCCGTTCTATCATCATTTACGCCAAATTTTTAGTGAAAACACAAAGCATGTCATTATTCTAATTGCAATAGGCTGAAATACGTAAATTTTATCTTGGAATTAATTGCATTTAATTTTGAATAAATTCAGCAGTCTTTTGTATTTATTTCGTATGCGGAACGCATACTTTGCTGTTTTGTTATAAAACACTTAATGGTTTATGCAGGTAGGTGATTTATGTTAAATAAAGTGAAGTATCATTTCTTAATTTTTGTTGTTTGTTTTGTCTTCTGTTATAATAATTAACAACATTTTTATTTAAAAAAGATAACATTAAAGGCTGATATTTTGTCTGAATAATAGGAGTCCCTAAACCTTTTTTATGTTCATGGGTTTCTTATGATTCTCTTTGTATACAGCGATTACTCGATGACAGAATTAATCAGACGATCTTTGTAATGGAGAAGTGTTGTGTTTTCTTTGCGGTACGGAAATATTAATAAGCCGTTCTTCTGCTTCAGAGGATTGAAAAAATCGTTTTGCCACGTTATAGATATAATTTCTTCCATAATTATTCAGAAATTTAATCTATCTAAATTTAGAGGCCGTTATCATTTTATTTGTTATAAGGAAAATTGTAGGTGTCAAGTGATTTTTAAATTAAGGTATCCATACTTTTTTTTCTTAGACCGAGTGTTTGTTTTATCTTTACAATAATTGAATTTTATTATTCAATTTCGTATGTTTGTTGATTGTTGATAAAACGCAGGTATCCTTAAATTAGTGGAGGATTTGAAGGGTGTGTTAGTATTTATTGATGAATCACGTACAAAAACCTTATGATCTATAAAACAATCAAACTACGTTCATGTTTCTTTTTACATTGTAGTGTTACAGGTGATTACTTTAGTAGAAATTGACTGACGTTTAAGAGGTGCTTACTGCCTCCATCATCACCCTGATAATTGAGGCAGTAAGCACCTCCGAAACGTCGACAAATTCCTGGGAGACTACATGGCGCAATATCCCAGAAGACAGTCATGTTAGTACTCCCTGCCATGAGAACCTGAAACCTCACCAAGACTTTGTCTTTTATAGGACTGCTCTCATCAGAGCTCGAGTGTGGAGGTTAATATTAAAACGGGTGTTATAGAAGTAGAGTGTGAGGATTTGGACTTGCATAATTTGGTCGCTATAGACTTTCCTCTTCCAAATATCCATCTTTTGGGACGAAAACCACGTATTTCTTGTATTTTCAAATCAGAAACCGCAGATACTAGAAAACAACGCTTTTTGCAACGCTGTAGTTGGTGATTTGTTTCTGCAGTTGTAAACTCGTTACTACAACCAAGTAGTATCCAGTGCCGCTAGATGGCAGGAGCTTCGCATCCTGACAATCCATTGGCTCGTCATTAGTAATGAATGTATTTTAAGGACTGTTCGGTGCAAACCCGGAGGAAATTGTAATTGACAAGAAATGCGTGTATTTATACCTACAGAGGGACATTTCACACTTGCACGTGTGCAGCTGATAGTAACAACTTTATGCGCAATTGTCCGGGACCAACAATGGATGTAAAGAAAACGTTATATTTTCTTTATCTAAGCCTTGGATTAGCTTAACTTAGCTTACTCGAGTGTTAGTTTGCAGACGTGCGCGCTGTAGCTCTGCTACTGTTTTCCTGGTTTTGATTTACCGTTGCGAAAGTTTTGTTCGCTTCATTGTGGAGTACACTTTCGCTCCGTTACTAATTTTATCCTTATTCTACGTATTTGAAGTACAGAATGAATTCTAACCAACCAACTAGATGGCTTACAGAACCCGAGCGTTCATCACCGAATTAACCAAAGCCCTCCACCGGACCCTGTCCTGGGCCAACAAAATCCAGTCTCCTTCAACTCCTATCTCCCATAGATCCCGCCTGAGATTATCCTCCCATCTACGTCTAGATCTCCCCAGAGGTCTCTTCCCCTCAGGCTTCCCAAATAGTGGACCCAACCAACCAGAGGGCTTACGGAACCCGAAGGTTCATCACCGAATTAACCAAAGCCCTCCACCGGACCCTGTCCTGAGCCAACAAAATCCAGTCTCCTTCAACTCCTATCTCCCATAGATCCCGCCTCAGATTATCCTCCCATCTACGTCTAGGTCTCCAAAGCGATCTGTTCCCCTCAGGCTTCCCAAATAGTGGACCCAACCAACCAGATGGCTTACAGAACCCGAAGGTTCATCACCGAATTAACCAAAGCCCTCCACCGGACCCTGTCATGAGCCAACAAAATCCAGTCTCCTTCAACGCCTATCTCCGATAGATCCCGCCTGAGATTATCCTCCCATCTACGGCTAGGTCTCTCCAGAGGTCTCTTCCCCTCAGGCTTCCCAAATAGTGGACCCAACCAACCAGATGGCTTAGTGAACCCGAAGGTTCATCACCGAATTAACCAAAGCCCTCCACCGGACCCTGTCCTGGGCCAAAAAAATCCAGTTTCTTTCAACTCCTATCTCCCATAGATCCCGCCTGAGATTATCCTCCCATCTTCGTCTAGGTCTCCCCAGCGGTCTCTTCCCTTCAGGTTTCCCAACCAGTACCCGGTGCACACCTCTTGTCCCATCCATGCGCGCTACATGTCCCGCCCATCTCACTCTTCTTGACTTAATCACCCTCACAATACTGGGGGAGGAGTACAGATTTTTAAGCTCGTCATTGTGCAGTTTTCTCCACGCCCCATCGTCTTCCCTCTTAGGCCCAAATATCCTCCTCAACACCCGATTCTCAAACACCTGCAATCTGTGTTCCTCCCTCTGAGTGAGAGACCATGTTTCGCACCCATACAAAACAACAGGCAAAATTGTTTTTTATACTTTAATTTTCAGGTTCTTAGAAATCAGACGGGAAGACAAAATATTTTGAACTGAGAAGTAGCAAGCATTTCCAGAATTTAATCTCCTAACTTCCTCATGAGTGTCATTTTGATTTGTTATTGTTGTTCTCAAATATTTGAACTTTGTAACCCTTTCAAAGGATTTATTAGCTACCCTAAGATAATTCTGCCCGCCTGTCTGCTGACGACGAGATACTAACATGTACTTAGATTTTTCTGAATTCACTTCTAGCCCCACCTGTCTACTAGCCTCTAGTAAAACTTCTGCGTTCCTCTTTATTGCATTCATATCGTCCCCCAATAAATTAACATCATCAGCATATGCCAATAGCTGACAGAATGAATTCAGGTTATGTATATATTAATAAATTTCCCGCCAAGAACAAGGGGAAATGCAGAGTAGTTAATACACAGTCAGTATTGCCCCGTAAGACCCAAAATCCCCCAACTTCATTGCCATGGCAACAGTTATTAGAAGATACACCATTCATAAATATTTCCCCATAGGGCATTTAGATATACAGAAGTATTTACAAAAACAAATGAAATTAAAACTGCGCGTCAGTATACGAAGACAAATTCTTTTTGTCACTTCCAGCTGGTAACATATTTAAAGTAAATTTCCAAGAAATATGCGCTTAGTGAGATATTTTTAATACAGTGTTCGTCTTTCTTTCTTTCTCCCTCCTCCCCGTTTCGAACGGGGGTGAGATCAAAGCTGATGGCGTACAGTAACTAATGGAATGAACTGACGTCCTGTCCCTGGCGTGTCTCCAGAACTGAGCCATCCTCCATCTCAAAAATGTATACCTGGACCTTAGCCACAGACGCACAACAAACCACCTCAGTTCTTGCTGTGTTACGTAAAGCAGTGCCTAGGATCGTGTTTCCTGCCTTTATGCGATGTAATTTACTGACTGAATTACCCATATTCCGCTCAAGTTATTATTTTTTTTTTAAATGTAGCTTTTCCTTCGGTCGTTTGTTCATTGCTGCGTGAACCACCGGTCGCAGATATGCGTCTCCCCTCGTCTCCGCAAGTCTGCCAGCAAAACTTGGCCTTCCTACAGCGATAATCTAGTCTGAGCTCATTATAGGAGAATTTTTAACCCACTTTCCTTCGTTAATGGAAAAAAAATAGGTTTATTAGAACTTCCATTCTATCTGGGAGTGTCTCGATCTTTTATCTTTTCAACCATTTCACCGATTGCCACGAAACTTGGCATTTTAACATCGATCAGTCGGATTTTGTAATTATATTCATTATCTAGCATGGTATATGCGCAAACTTCTGAGGTGGGAACGCCACTTAATATAGATTGGGTAAATATATTCGAATAATATACAGTTTTTTTAATACGAAACAACAACATGGCTTCCTTGCGAAATTTTTGTTCTTTTAGCTAGTCATTGGCATTAGGCGAGTGAACTTCATTGCGGATTTATATAGTTAAAAGTATACATTTTGTAAGAAATATTGTTTGTAACTCAACAATTATAAACATGGCGATGGCGCGAAACTTAGAATTTAGATCCGATAAATTTGTCATGGATAGAAACTGCGCTTAAATAATAAGTGACTCAGAAGTTCCTAGTTCGCGTCTAATATCTTCATTTCTTATATGATCTGTTCTTTTATATGGAAAATGCCAAATTTTCAAATTTAATTTTTAATACGTACCAAAACACATATGTGGGCATAGGAAGGCAGACCAGAAGATGGCTTTAAAGTAAGAAATGGGCAAATCCATTAAGTGAAAGAGACGAGAAAAATTCAAGAATAAAGCAGTAATTCTGACCCCAGAAAGTTTTCATAGATGGGTTATAAATATGCATGATGAGGGTCGTGTGATGTCTCCACCTATTCATTGTGCTGCTTCGCCTTTCCGACATGTTTATCTCCAGCTAACCGACGTGTCATTGACATTTATTTAATCCATGACACATCCTGTTCCCCATTACATATTTTCGCAATTGGGAATTTCAAGTACAAAACGCACGCTTACCCCTGAAGTTTCTGCTGTATACAGTTGGTACACTGTAGTGGTGGGGAGACAGCAAATAAGAGGGAATATGTTGGTATTTAAACCCAATTTATTGTCATAAATCGTTTTTTTTTGGGGGGGGGTTCGAAATGAATTAACTTTGTGGCGTATGCATTTCTTGAAACGTCTACATTAGAAAGTGTTGCTAAGGAACACAGCGATGTTTAGGTTATGTTAGGTTTGGTTAGGTTGGGTAAGTTAACTTTATGATAGATAAGGTTGTGTTGTTTTTACGATGGGTTGAGTTGCCCTGGAGAATTTCTATCGTGTTAATCTAGTGGTCGTGGGGATGTCCTGGAGAATTCCAGGGAAAGTTCTGAAGAAATCCTGGAAAAGTCCT